AAAGAGGGATGGAGAACGTACGCTATATAACAAACTAATCGAAAATGAAGGCCAATAAGAAATTAGGGGAGAGAGATGGAGCCGGAGGACAAGAGAGGGTGACAAGAGGACGCAAGAAAACGAGAAGGAAGAGTTATAATGGAGACATTTAAAAAACACCTTATTAAAACAATGTAAGGGGGGGGGGGGGGTTCCAAGGCGCGCCCCCGTGAGGAGTGGCGAGCGGGCGAGAGCCGGCGACGCCATGCGCGACGCGGCGCCGCCAAAGAGCTCCGAGCCTATCTCGGGCAATCTCGGGTAATCTCGGGTACTCTCGTCCAGGCGAGGCGCCGCCGAAGAGCCCCGAGCCGAGAAGGTTCTCGCCGTCCGGGCTCCACGGCAGCTTGACGGAGCCGTTGTAGACGGCGGTGCCTGAGGGGGGCATCTCATTCCCATTCTCGTTCTCATTCTTATTGTAGGCGGCGGCGCCTGTGGGGCATCTCATCACTATCAGTATTATCATGCCAGACCAGTATTACCCTTTTTATTAGAGGATCGGGACTGAGTCGCCCCAAACGGCGGCAGCCGGAGCCTTTGTCGGGTGCGAGGGCCGTATAGCGCCGCGCCGAGGCCGAGGGCTCGCAAGCGTCTCGGCGAGATCTCGGCGAGATCTCGGCTAGCGGGGGGCCGTAGAGCATCACGCCGAGGCCGAGGAGCTGGAGGTACGAGCCGCTGTTCCACGACTCGCCTAATGAACTAATCAACTATTCACGAGCTGCCAATTATTAATGAGTGCACGAGCCGCGGCTCCACGGCTCGCCGTGCGCGCCGTCCGTGGCATGGAAGATGTACAGGTTGCACCTGCCGCGATCTCGCGCCATGGCCGGGGTCCTCCGACGCACTCTCGTGGGCGCGGGGGTGGGGGAGGAGGGAGGGGGAAGCTGCACATCCAGATTGTGATCGGGCAATCTCGGGCAATCTCGGGCAATCTCGGGTAATCTCGGGCACTCACATCCAGAGTGTGATCGGCCGGAAGTTGTCGAGGGGGAGATGTGGGGAGATATGGGGAGAGATGGGGAGATTTGCACATCCAGATTGTGATCGGCCGGAAGTTGTCGAGGATCGCGTGCCAGACCGAGGAGAGCATGAAGGTGACCTGCACAGGGAGGGCGGCGTGAAGAGACGCTGTTCACAGCGGGCCGAGAGGGGGGCAGGAGTGGGACCAGTACGGAGAAGGAGTTGAGGATGAAGACGAGGACGCAGAAGCCGAGCGCCTGTGATTCAGAGTGACCCATTCATTCACCGGGGGTGGAGTCGAGGGGGAAGACGAGGACGCAGAAGCCGAGCGCCATCCGCTGGATCGCTTGCGAGTGCTCGATCTGCAGCAGCGTGTTCGGCAGCGACTCGACGACGCCATGGTCTGGACCGGGCGCGATCTGCGCGGGGGTTCGGGTACCGTGGGGGTAGGGGATGAGTTCGGGTACCGAGGGGGAGGGCGGCGGGGGGAGGGCGGCGAGTCAGAGCAGTGGCAGCGCGGCTGCCGGAGATGCCGTCATGCGGCGGCGAGGCTGCCTGCGCAATCGGGTAGACGACGAGCGTGCAGAGCAGAGTGCCTGCAGAGAGAGAGAGAGCCGGGAGTCCGGCGCCGAGAGCGGTCGGGCAGACGCCGCTCGTGCAAGAGGCGCGCGCCGAAGAAGCCCTCCATCCCGATCAGCAGCCACGGCGGCGCCTGCACGTCGCCCGCCATCACCTCATTAATTAATCAATCAATTAAATAACTGATTAATTAATATTAATTAATTCCTGCACGTCGCCCGCCATCACCTTCTCCTCGTACACGTACTGCAGCGACTGGCAGAACGTGCCTAATGAATTACTCAGCCATGAACCCACTGTGAATTCCTAATCACGTACTGCAGCGACGGGCAGGACGTGCCCGCGATGGTGAGAGCGATGCCGGCCAGCGGCCCGCTGCTGTCGGCCGCGGGCGCAGCGTCGCCCTCCGACGGCGAGGGCGCCTGCACGGGACGCGTCGGGGACGTGTCGGGGACGGCGTCGGGGACGTGTCGGGGACGTGTCGTGACGTGTCGTGGACGTGTCTCATCTCGGATGTGTCGGGGACGGCGTCGGGGACGTGTCGGGGACGTGTCGGGGACGTGTCGGGGACGTGTCTCATCTCGCCCCTCCGGCGGAGATGACGCCGAGATGCAGTCGAGATGCAGTCGAGATACACGTTAGGTGCGGGTGGAGGTGCGGGCGGAGGTGCGGGTGGAGGTGCGAGGTGCAGCCGGCGGGGCGCCTCTGCGAGCATCGGAGAGAGTCCGACCATCGTCACCGCGAGAGCGATGAAGCCGACACCCCACCACATGGCGGGAGTGAGACGGTCGCCTAGGAAGTGTCCCGGAAGTGTGTCCCGGAAGTGTGTCCCGGAAGTGTCGGGGAACCACATGTGAGACGGTCGCCGAGGGCGAACTGCTTCATCAGCGCGACGAAGACGATCCCTCCGCCGCGCAGCAGCATCCAGATCGACGCCGAGATGTGCATGAGACCCGCCACCATCAGAAGCACCTGGCGGCAGGCGAACCGCGAGCCGCTGAAGAGGAGGCGGCCATCGACCGGCGGCGGGTGTCGGCCGTTTGTGTCGGACGCGCGGAGACCCGCACCGACAGGAGGTCGAAGACAGCGGGGAGGCCGAGCATCAGCAGCGTCTTGACCGTCACCGGCGGCTCTGCGTCCATCGCCGCCTACGCGAAGGTTCCGGGAAAGGTTCGGGGATGGGCTCGCTCGCGCCGCCGACGGCTCCGGCCCCTGGCAAGCCTTGAGGGCGGGGTCGTGCCTGGCCTTGCGCGCGCGCAGCCACTCGGTGCCGAGGTACATCGGCAGCGCGAACAGCATGCCGAAGAACATGAGCCACGACTGGAAGACCTGCGGCTTGAACGGAAGCAGCTCGCCTGCGGACGCCGACCGAGGCGCGTCATGGCACCAGCCCACGCCCGCGCGAGGGCCCGCTGTCTGGCCACTGCGATGCGCTCGACGTCGTGGGGGCGCGCAGCCCGGGTGTGCGCCGTCGAACCGCCCTCCTCCCTCCCTCCCTCTCACGCGGCTGCTGGCGTGTTGCGGCGACCGTTCAGGCCCTCGGACTTGAGCTCAAAGAGAGTCTTTGAGAAGATGACGCAGCCGGTGCCCGCCACGAGGCCAATGACGAAGACTGCCGACGCCTGGCCTGTGCATGGCTTCTCTCCGGCACCCATCGGGCCCTCCGGCCTCGTGGTTGCCGACGAGCCGATGTCGCGCGGGCAATTTCTTTTTCCAAAATTTCTTTTTCGCTCGCAACAGCAAACCTCAGCGGCAGATGTCCGTTGGCGTCCTTCTCCTTGGCCACCTCGGGGCTGCTGGCGATGATCGCGAGGAGCTCGGCCTCGTCAGTCCCGCCCTCGATCGCGCTGAAGAGCTGCGACATCCTGTAGGTGTAGCTCAGTAGCTGGGGGCGTCGCGCTTGAGCACTTGAGCACTGGATAGGGTCGATTCGGATCAAAGCGACGTCAATCACAAATTAATCGCCTAAGGCACGGGCTGCTCACCGGGACTGACCGTCCCACCCACGACCCACGTGTGCACCGGGCCGCCAGTGCGCAATGTGGTTCGACCGCCCTCGTGGGTGGTCGTGCGCCTCCGTTCGCAGAAAAGAATTTCCCCGTCAGGAGGATTTAAGCCGTAGCTGCGTCGCCATGTCCGAACATCCATCACGAGAGGGATGCGCGCCACAGCCACAGCCACGCCACCCTGCGGTGACGGTGATGTTGACCCTACCACGGGATGCATTGCCGTGTATCGCGAGCCTTGCCGTGGCGCCAACCTTTCATGACCCCCTGACCCCCCCCCCCCCCCAATGAACACACCAGCGCGAGGGAGGGCGAGCGAGACGATCGATCGAGGGGTCCCGTAGCCGTACCATGCGGAATCGACCCTATCTATCCAGTGCTCAAGTGCTCAAGCAAGGCAGGACACATAGGGCCGGCACACACACCTACGCGACATAGCAGTTTTGAGTTTACGACAACGTCTCGAATTTTCTGGACTTCTTGCAACACATATGATATCCAGTGCTTCTTGGCCCCGTGGTTGGCGACCGCGTCCGCGCGAAACCAACACTCCGCGAGGGTCATGGGCAGGGTGTTGAGGAACCACTTTTTCGAAACGAGAGCTCGAGAACGAGAGTAGATTTCCAATCCGCCATTTGCTTTGTGTGTGCGTGGGGAGCTTATTACATTGTACCTTTAACATCGGTCGTCCACGCCGTGATATGTGAAAAGGCGCCTTGGGCTGCCCCCCCCTCCCCCCCGCCCCCTCCCCGCGCGCGAGATCGCCGCCCGCTTCCGCGAGAGGCGGGCTCAGGTGTGCTTCCGCTCACTGGCTGTGAGAGCTGCGAGACAGGGCGTGGCTGAACTGGCGGTCGCCGACTCGACAGCTGAGCTCGCGGCCGACTGGGCCTCGTCGCTCAACTATTAATTAGTAATCAGGAATGAGTCATTGTACTGAATAACAGCCGGGCCGCCGACTGGTCCTCGTCGCTCTCCTCGGCGGCCGGCGGCTCGTCGGCCGCTGCGGCGCGGCAGGAGCCGCTGGGCACCCGGCGGATGGGCTCGACGTACTGGTCGAGCGACCCTGTTCACACCACGCGCCGTGAAGAGGCTGGGAGGCGCGCCGCGGCTGGCCAAACGGTGGGCGTCCACTCTCCTCGCTGCGACGCCTGGTCAAACGCATCCAGCCGCTAATTATTACGATCAGAAATAGTATGAACAGCTTTGATCAGTAGCAGTTGAGGCCTGATCGAAGACGTCCAGCTGCACGCCCGCCTTTGGGGAGATATGGGGAGATATGGGGAGATATGGGGAGATATGGGGAGATATGGGGACATCCAGCTGCACGCCCGCCTTTGGGGAGATATGGGAGATATGGGGAGATATGGGGAGATATGGGGACGTCCAGCTGCACGCCCGCCTTTGGGGAGATATGGGAGATATGGGGAGATATGGGGAGATATGGGGAGATATGGGGACGTCCAGCTGCACGCCCGCCTTTGGGGAGATATGGGAGATATGGGGAGATATGGGGAGATATGGGGAGATATGGGGACATCCAGCTGCACGCCCGCCTTTGCCGCCGCGTCGGCGGGAAGCAGGTACCTCGCCGCCGGCCTCCGCCTCCACCACCACCCCGGGCCGCTCGCGCACGCGCGCGCGGCGGAGGAGAGCGTCGCGCCAGAGCTGCGCGCGTGCGCGACGCCGGCGGCGGCGGAGGAGGCGAGGAAGAGGAGCCACGCCTGACAGTGACGGTGGGGGTCAGAACACGGGCGGTGGAGTGGCGCCGAGCAGAGGGAGGGAGCAGGGGATCAGAGCGGCGCATTGGAGTGGCTCCAGGCGAAGGGAGGGAGAGCGGGACTTTTGAGTGGCTCCGGGCGAAAGGAGGGAGGACGGCATCTCTTTGAGTGGCTCCAGGCGAGGTCGTCGCGCCTCCGGCGGGGCGAGCAGCGCGAGGACGACGCAGAGCAGCACGGGCCCCGCGTAGAGCAGGGCGAGCGGGGAGGCGCGCAGAGGGATCCGAAACGGCCTACACTCGCCGACCAGACGCGCGAGAGGTCTGCGAGAGGTCTGCGTGAGAGGGTCGGCACGGGGGGAGGGGGGGAGGGGGGAGGGGGCCTCGGCGTGAGCGGCTCGGAGACGCGAAGAGCGAGCAGCGCGAGCACCTGGGGGGTGGGGTGGGGGGGGACTCCTTCAGAGTAAAAGAAATCACGTCGGCGTGCAGGCACCACTGTGCGTGTGTGTGATTGGGGTTGAGCGCTGGTGGAGAACGAAACCAGAAGAGCACGGCGCCAGGTGCGAGGGGGGTGAGGGCCGTCCCGCTCTAGAAAGAGTGTGCTCTCCGTCAATCTCGGGTAATCTCGGGTAGTCTCGGGTAGTCTCGGGTGATCTCGGGTAATCTCGGGTAGTCTCGGGTAGTCTCGGGTGATCTCGGGTGATCTCGGGTGATCTCGGGTAGTCTCGGGTGATCTCGGGTGATCTCGGGTAGTCTCGGGTAGTCTCGAGCCTCGATGAGGGTCGTGGCGCCGTAGAAGAGCATCGAGATGGAGACCAGCTGCGAGAAGGGCAGGGTGCACGCGATGGCGAGCACCTGCCACCGTTGCCTCACCACTCTCACCACCCCCCTCCTCCCCCTCATCGGTACTACTGTGAGAGCAGGGGAACTTGGCACCGTCGAGAGTAGCGCCGTCGCCACCCTCGGCACGCCGCTCTCCGCGTGCACCTGTTCGTCACCAACTCATGTGTATTCAGTATTCTCTCGCGTCACCATCCCCGGCACGCCGCTCTCCGCGTGCACCTGTTCATAATTAAGTGATCTTTATTCATTATTAACTCGCGTCGCCACCCCCGGCACGCCGCTCCCCGCGCGCACCTTCGCGACCGACGCGGGTAGCACGCGCAGCTTTGCGGCGGAGACGGCGACGCGAGCCTATTGGCGTGGCGGCGGGCACTTGGTACGCAGCCCTCGCTTATGCTAGCTTATGCTGGTCCGTGAGGCGACGGAGGCGCGCGCCGAAGTGCAGAGCAAGGTGTTGAGCAGCCCGAAGCAGGAGAGCGCGCCTGCGAGGAGGAGACCGAGTCGCGAAGTTGCTCCTTCGGGGGCGGAGCAGCCAGAAGCAGGAGAACGTGCCCAGCAAGCAGAGAACGGTATCGCTGTCTCACTCGGCTGTCTCTCGGCTGTCTCTTGGCTGTCTCTCGGCTGTCTCTCGGCTGTCTCTCGGCTGTCTCTTGGCTGTCTCTCGGCTGTCTCTCGGCTGTCTCTCGGCTGCCTCTCGGCTGTCTCTCGGCTGTCTCTCGGCTGCCTCTCGGCCATCTCTCTCGCCTCCGATCGTGACCCACGCGGCCAGCCAATCTCCGACGTGCTCCGACGCGACGCGAACAAAGGAGCCGTCCGACCACGCGCGGACCTGTCGATTGAGGACTCATCCTTCACTCCTGACTGTCGCTCCTCAGCTCGCAAGCCGCCCGACCACCGCGCCGCACATGCTCTGCGTCCAGCGACGTGGCGACGGCGAGCGGGACCAAATAGGTGACCGTCACGAGCACGATCGTGATGCCGAGCGCGCGAGGGAAGTCGCGGCCAGGCTGCTCCACCTGCGGGATCAACTCTGGAGTCTGAACTCTCAGGTCTTGGCTCGGAGTCGCGCCCGGGCTACTCCGCCTGCGAACTGGAGCGACGACTCTCTCGGACGTGTCTACGGAGGTGTCGGGTGTCGGCCCGGCTGCTCCACCCGTCAGTCATACGGGGAGGTGTGGGGAGATGTGGGGAGAGATGGGGAGGTGTGGGGAGGTGTGGGGAGGTGTGGGGAGGTGTGGGGAGGTGTGGGGAGGTGTGGGGAGGTGTGGGGAGGTGTGGGGAGGGATGGGGAGATATCGCGGCCAGGCTGCTCCACCTGTGAGTGTCGTAGCGGCAGAGGGTCTCCAAAGGCAGGCGGGCGTCGTGGGAGATGTGGGGAGATGTGGGGAGATGTGGGGAGGTATGGGGAGACATGGGGAGATCTGCCTCACCTCGGCGGCCAGAGCCATGGGGAGAGATGGGGAGAGGTGAAGAGACCTGGGGAGATCTGCCTCACCTCGGCGGCCAGAGCCATGGGGAGAGATGGGGAGAGGTGAAGAGACCTGGGGAGATCTGCCTCACCTCGGCGGCCAGAGCCATGGGGAGAGATGGGGAGAGGTGAAGAGACCTGGGGAGATCTGCCTCACCTCGGCGGCCAGAGCCATGGGGAGAGATGGGGAGAGGTGAAGAGACATGGGGAGATCTGCCTGACCTCGGCGGCCAGAGCCATGGGGAGAGATGGGGAGAGGTGAAGAGACATGGGGAGATCTGCCTCACCTCGGCGGCCAGAGCCCCCACCGAGTCGTATCCAGACGTGTTCCAGAGCAGCACGGACAGAAAGGTGCCCCAGCGCACCGGCGGCTGCGGCTCCCAGACAAGGTCCGACGTCCAGACGGCCGTCTGGAGGCCGCGCCTGCCGCACCACCCACGGAGCTGAACCCAGACTGGACTCGAGACTCTGGAGGATTGGGACTAGAGGGCTGTCGGTAGGCCGCGCCCGCTCATCACGCCGGCGATGGAGAGGGCGACGAAGGGCGAGATGACGAAGAGGGCGAAGAGGTTCGAGACCTGAGATACGGGGGGGAGATGTGGGGAGATATGGGGAGATATGGGGAGAGATGGGGAGAGATGGGGAGAGATGGGGAGAGATGGCGAAGAGCTTCGAGACCTAGAGAGTGGTGCTGCGACTGTTGCAAAGGGCGACGTCGCAGAGGCACCGACACGGCTCGAGGTCCTTAAGAGGACTCCTCTCACTGATGGGGTGTGGTGAGATGAGGTGAAATCTAGGGAGGTGTGGGGAGATCTAGGGAGATGTGGGGAGATACGCACCTGCGCGACGACGTCGACGCCGAGCAGGTTGAGTCCGGTGACCACGGCTAGCATCGCCACCTGCGGACAACGGAGGAGGTGGGGGGGAGGGGAAGGGGGAATGGGGGTAGGGGTGCGGGGGTGGGTGTCTGTCCCCTGGTCGGGAGGTGGCCAATTCCCCTCAACGAAATTGAGTCTCATCGGCCACCAAGAGACCTGGGGTCTCCTTCCCGCGCGCCCCCTGTATGGGTTTGCACCGCGAACTTTTGAGCCGAATGGCTGGAACCCTGGGAGGCCCAGAAGCAAATCGGGGGAGTGTGGAATTAAACACAATCCTTCCCGG